TTTCACACTTTAGTCCCACATTGATCAAAATTGCAAAATCATCTCTTCCATCCAATTGGGCCAACTTCAGCTTGTCAAACTCATTCTATCTGATATATGGAATATGTGTGGCATGTTAGATCAGGAGTTATGCATAGAAGTATCACAAAATTAAAGATTGAAGTTTCATTGCCATAAAGTGAAAGTTGCCATTTTTGACTTTTCCAAGCATGAGGTGTAAAAGCCAATTCTGAACCAGCCACTCTACAAAGCTTCTAGCCTGAATTTGCATCAGAAAACCATCAATTAACTTGCCCTTTGGGAGAAAGAATGGCCAAGGAATCCAACAAGTGGGATGGTGGATCAAAAAATATCAAAGATTGCTTCATGGTGAAGAAATGTCTCAAGCAAGCACCTCAATCCATTTCTCTATAAAAGGAGGGCTCATTCACCTCATTCCACACACAATTCATCTGATAGAAACCACAAATAACCTCTTTCATCACAATTCTCTCATCTTGCTTCAATTTTCTCAAAAAATCACAAAGTTCACAAAAACACTCAAAATGGCCTTGAAGTGAAATCTGCCCAAATTCATTTCTATCCTTTCCAACACCTCAACCACCCTCCACACAACTTCTAAATAACATATAGAAGGTTTGTAATCCATTAAACCACTAGAAAACCTTAGAAATCAAAAAGTCAAACTCCTACATATCATACTTTGACCAAAAGCCACAAAAATCACCAAACTTTGTTCTAAGCCTTTCCTTGAGGTTTTGAACATCCACACACCTCATAAATACCATATCTCAACTATTCAAACACTCACCAACCATTAGAAACTCACTCCTTGTCTTTTGGCATTGAAAGTACATTGTTGCTTAAAGTTGAAGAAAAATTCAAAAGCAAAAAGTGAGGGAAGATATCTCTGGTTTTCTCAACTGTTTTTAGCTGGTTTAAAAGGTTCATCAAGAGGTATGTGATTGGTTTCTATTGAATTTTACATTAGTTTTCATGGATTGGCATATTTGAGCATTATGTGTGTTTTTTTTGAAATTTGAACATTATGTGGTTTCATGACACCTTGCTTTTACTGCTACACATGGACATTATGTGTGTTTAGACATGTTTTATACTGCATATGTATGTTGTTCTTGTGTTGGTATGCTTGGAATTTGCTGTTGTTGATGAAAGCACATGGTTGTTGCATTTTGAACCCAAGTGTGGGCAGTCACATGGCCATGAGGTTAAAAACTGGTTTGTCTATCAGTTTATTGATTTGAAACTGCTTACTATCATGTGTTAGGTGTGTATGTGTGCCTGGACTAGCCAGTTTGTGCCCCTTGGTGGTTTTGAGTTTTGTTTATGCTTAGTTAAAACACTAACATGTTTGCTCCCAAAGCTAGGATTCTGTCCAGCCCATTTTAAACCTTGTTGCTTGCTTGAACATCATCAAACATGTATATTTGTGATGTATGTATGATTGCCTTACTGAAATTTTGCTCACTATTTGATTCAACATGTCGATTGGACTTACACAAGCTCTTGTTTTCAAGCATAGCACACCAGTTTTGATTATGGTACATTTCAAACCTAATTAATTGTTGAAACATCTCATAATGATCATTTATAACATGTATGTATGTTCATTTCATTGAAAAAACTCACTGTCATGGAAAGTCATCTTTCAAAATGCAAAATATCACATACACTTTCACACACCAAGCCATTTTTGCTACAAACTTGTTTTTTTACTCAAACCACCCAACACACACTTTATATTGATCACATATGAGATGTTGGGATGGTCATTTTGCATTGAAACACACTGCATCCAAATATCACTCTTGAATTGCTCACTTTTCACAAAAAATGACACATCATATACCAGTTCTGGCATTGGCTTGTTTTTAAGTTGAATTGTGTGTCCCAACAGTTTGTATTTATCATTTGAAATATGTTTGTATGTTTGAAAGACCTTAAAACCACCTGAACACAAATCCCCCTCACAGAATGCACATAACACACAAATGAGCATTTTGAAAGCTACATCACTACACAATCACCACAGTTCCTTAAGTTTTATACAAATACACTTATTAACATGTAGTACAAATGTTTGATTGATGGCTATGATCCAAACTGAGCTGAAACAAAAAGTACACCCCATCATGCATACCACTTATTGTCCTATTTGCAAAGTTACACATGATTTTTCACATTAGCTCAGTTCTGCTCCTAAGTATGTTTTGAATTGATCCATTACCTTTTAACTATGATGTGTGTGTGTTTTGTTTGAATCAAATGTGGTTGTATGAAGTTGAACATGTGAATTTGCAAAATTGAACATGAAACTAAACCACTATCGGGTTTTTCAGTGGGAAAAGAATTTTTGAAAACTAAGCTCACCATCATGATCCCCAGTTGATTCTACCCCAAAACCATATAAATTTTTTGAAAAATGGATGAGATATGAGAAAGTTATGATTGGTTTTGCAAATCATCCAAACACTTTGTTTTGCCTAGAAAAATCAAGAAACATACATTATATATTTATCCAGGCGCCCTAGACAATGGATGTATAGCCACCCCAGTGGTAGAGACATGCGCGCAAACTTACCTTTCATATGCCTGACCTGGGTTCGATCCTCAGTGATGACCCTTGTTGCCATTTTTTTTTCATTTTTTACACAAACTTCAAAAAATCATATCTCTCTCAATTTTAATCATTTTTCATCCATTCTTTTTTCATTGTGTTTGTTTTAATGTGTACTTTCATGTCATGTTTTTATTTTTCATGTTTGACTAATTTTTCACCATGTTTGACCATGTGCAACCTGTGCTTTGACAGTACTAACCCTAATTGTTGCAGATGAAAGTTTAGATGGTTCTACTTGATTTCTTGTGTGAAATGTGTTTGTTCTCATATCCATACATGTTAGTTAACATGCTAGGATTTTTATTTTGAATTATTGCCATACTCAGTTCATCCCTCTGTTGACTGTATTAAAATGCGAACTGTCGTCACAGTTCTCATTCATCTGCTTTGATTGTCATCATTGCATCTTTTTCATCCTTATCAATTTCTTTACATTTAATGGTTGTCACCATGAATGTGTTTGTATTTTACTTTTTTCCCCAAGTGATGAAGCTTGTTAGCTTTCATCCAGTTGCCTCCCCAGTTCTCTCTCCAAAGGAAGGTCTGCCCATTTGACTGTCAATGTCATGAACAACCCTTTACCCTCCCTTGACTTTGTTAAGTCACTTCAACCTTAGATTAGAAGCCTTTAGACTTTGCTTGAAGTCTAAGAAACCCACTTGTACTAGGAGTGTTCTTCAACTAGAACCCAAGGAAAGAGTTTGTCAACTCTGTGTAAGGATCGTCGTCATGACTTCTTACTTCCCCTTTTATATAACTTAGATTAGAGAGTTTTGTCAAACTCCACACAAACATTGTCATGTTTGTTCCCTCTTGAACCTTGATCATCATCAAGTGTTCTTTCCCCTTGTGAGGCGAACTACGATTGCTCTGATTCTATCCTAGTCAGGATACGTAGGCAGAAGATGCGACGTCTTTGCGAGCAAACTTAGAGAACCACTTAGGCCTTTATTTACTTTATCCCTTATCCCAAACTATAGTACAATTCACAAACTTAGCAATCAATCAAACAAAAGGTTCTTGTAGAGTACTACAGATATTTAGGGTGCTAATACCTTCCCTAGATATAACTAACCCCCGATCCCCGAATCTCTTAAGCGTTGTCGTTACATCGCGAAAAAGGTTTTTCTTTCTTGAGACCTTTCCTTTGGATAAATTAAAGATCGGTTGTAAAAGAAATAAGGTTCAAGTTAATTAATAGCTTGCTATCCAATTTTCACCGCAACAAACATCTCTCATGACCTACTGACAAGGCCAGATGTTGCATTCTGCATGCTGGAATATCTTGTTCCACATGTTGCACTAGTCCATCCAAATTCACCCTTCTCCATTACTTGTAAATCTTCTTTGTAGAGAGAGCCTTGTATAGAATAATTTTAAACCAAACTGAAATATCATTTGTCTATTTCCAGATACCAAATGTTGCAGTACACATGTTGGAACATCGTGTTCAACATGTTTCCCTTTTGCACCAGAACCAGTTTGAGCAACCTCCATGTTGTTTTGCATAATGCAGTCAATTCCAAAAGGACCAACCCTAGGAGGCCGCCCGCAACCGCTAAAGGCTTTCCCGACTCCATAAGCGTCCAATAAGTCTTAGAGGAAACTGTTCTGAACCAATTAAAAGCCTAAATGGTTAAGACTCAAATCAACTTAAATTCACTCCACTCAACACAAGGTATAAAATCAATCTTACACTGAAAGCAAGATACATTTTTATGATGTCCACTTTTCATTACAATCATCTTAAATCTTGAATTGACTTAGATGTTAAAGTGAAAATTTTGCAAGTCCACCTCCGCGCCGCCGTATTAGAGATCAGCACCACTCACTCAAGATTTCGCACTACCTAGTTCAACTATTTATGATTCTAATATGAAACAAAAATTATATATAATCTATTTCATTATATTTCTATTTAGCGCAACACAAAATTGAAGCTCTAATTATTTAAGGTCCTACCTTGTGAGTCTCTTTGCACACTCTCAAGGCGTGCACTAGTATCAAATTGATACTATCTATAATTTTTGTGATTCAAAATAATAATAAAAATTTCCTACAAACCAAGAAGTACGATTTTACTGGGAAAATATAGGAGACATGGTAAACAAACAAACATGAAGAGAAATACAACATAAATTCTTTGGCAATAACATAATACAAAGTAGCCACATCAAACACAAAGACAGTACTAACTGATAATACTACATGTTAACGAGTGATGAATGATTATTTGATGGAGTAATAGGTATAGATTGGAGTCACCAGAAAGTCACGAGAGTTCAACACCCACCATTGAAATTAACAAAACTAAAGACCAACATTTGTCATGTAGTAAAATGGAAACATATGAGTAGACTCAAAGTCCAGTTCTGCCAATCAATTTGGTGAAACCAAATGTAATGGCCATAGCCATCCAACCACCAATAAGAACCCTAACACAAGACCTCATCACTGGTGTTTTTCCAACCAATGCTCCAACTCCTCCAAACACCAACAGTGCCATGCTAACAACAGCACCAACAACACCCATCCTCATCTTATGATTCCTTATAAATGAAGCTGCTAGCAATGGCATAACAGCACCAACAGAAAATGCCAGTGCCGATGCCAACGCGGCTTGAAACGGATTCGGCAATTTCTCCCTTTCCGTACTTTCATCATCAACTACTCCATTATTGTTATTATTAGCTTCTCTTTCTCTTTTCATTTGAGCCATCTCTATGTCGTATTGAGTATAAACAGAGACAAACTCGCCAATACCCATGCTACAAGCACCAGCTACCAAACCAGCAAAACCAGTAAGGATCATTACAGTGATGTCTTCTTTTACTGCTCCGATACCAATCATCATTGAGGCAACAGTGATTAATCCGTCGTTGGCTCCCAACATGGCTGCTCTAAGCCACTGTGCCCTTTGAAAGTAATTAATATTACTCTCGTTTTCATTACTTTCTTTAGTTGCATGCACAGGTATCTCAATATCAAAATTGTTCGCTGAGATTCCATTAGTTTTTGCTTCAAGGTTGGAGGCCATACTGAAGGAAAAATTAAGGAACAGAAGTGTTGGTGTAAAAAAGAGAGGAAATTGGAATATGATATTAAGAGCTTGTGGAGAACTCATGCTTCTAATCAAAGGTATTTATAGCTAGAGGAGATATCGATTAATCCACTTTAGACAAGTGTATATTGGAATATGATATTGATAAAGGAGAGGGAGGTTGTAACCAAGTCACTAGCTCTAAGTTAGTGACAATTTTAGTGATTAATCACTCTAGTTTATCATTTAAAAATTCATAACCCACAATGGGTCCAAATCTCAAACTTTTCACCTTAATATAGTCTATACTATTAAGGTGATTCTTGTTCTTGACCATTACAAAAATTGGGAAACTTAGGCTAAGCCCATCAAACCATCAACACAAGACTTTCAAAGATTAGAATGGCTATGGCTAATTCATAACCGTTGTGTGGGGGTAACTAGGGTGTGGGGGCGATAGATCGCATAGGATTCAAATGTATTCATGAAATATATATATATATATATATATATATATATATATATATATATATATATATATATATATATATATATATATATATATATATATATATATATATATATATATATATATATATATATATATATATATATATATATATATATATATATATATATATATATATATATATATTTTAAAGGTCCTCGAAAAATATAATGTATCTTTATAGGATATGCACTAAATAGTAAAACATATAGATTTTTAAATTTCGAGTCTAATATAATTGTTGAATTTCGAGATGTAGAATTCTTTGAAAACCTTATTACTAAGGATAAAGAATCTGAGTCTCCCGCAAACAAAAAATCTCGTGAGAAAGATTTTTCTCAGAGTATCGAGATACAACCCGAAAGTATTTCTCGGATCATTGAAACACAACCAGAGCCTAAGATAAGCAAGAGAGTCCGAAAAACAAAGGATCTAGGACCAAATGAAATTGATTCTCAACTTATTTCTTTTTATCTAGTTGAAGAAAACGGTGAGAATTATGTTTGAAATATTCTCATTATTTTTCAAGTAGAAGATTATCCTAAAACTTACAAAGAATCAGTGGCTTCAAGGAGCTCTTCTTTTTAGAAGAATGCTATCCAAGATAAAATGGATTCAATCACTTCAAATCACACTTGGGAAATTGTTGATTTATCAAAGGAATCAAGGCCCATTGGATGCAAATGGGTGTTTAAAAAAAGTATAATAGTGATGGTACATTAAACACATATAAAGCAAGATTATTAGCGAAAGGATTTATAAAAAAAGAGGGTGTTGATTAATTTGACACATACACACTAGTGGCAAGAACAATAACAGTAAGATTACTTTTCGCCTTAGCCTCATTAAATGACCTTATAGTTCATCAAATGGATGTTAAAATATCATTCTTAAATGAAGATCTCGATGAGAAAATCTACATGGAACAACCAGAAGGCTACGTGCTTCCTAGAAATGAACAAAAGGTGTGTAAGATTGTCAAATCCCTATATGGACTAAAACAAGCACCAAAACAATGACATCAAAATTTTGATTTTGTCATACTTTCAAATGGATTTACTCCCAATTCTTGTGACAAGTGTTTATACACAAAGGTACGAAAAAATATTGTGATATTCCTTTGTCTATACGTTGATGACATGTTGATAATTAGAAACAACATGGATGGAGTTTTAGAGATAAAAAGGTTTCTAACTTCCACATTCAAGATGAAAGATCTTGGATTAGTAGACATAATTTTAGGGATCAAAGTAAAGATAAATATTGAGGGTTACGAACTTAGTCAAACGCATTATATTATAAAAATACTTGATAAGTTCAAACACCTAAACTTTAAGGAAGTAACCACTCCAGTTGATCATGTCATCAAACTTCAAAAGAACAATGGAAGAACAATGGCTCAATTGGAGTATGCAAGTGCAATAGGGTGTCTTATGTACTTAATGCAATGTACAGTATCCGACATATCATTTGCAATTAGTAAAATGAGTAGATTTACTAGTAATCCAAATAAAGAACATTGAAATGCAATCACAAGGATTTTCGACTATCTACAAAAGACCAAAAATCTTGGCCTTCATTATGGCAGGTTTCCGCCATACTAGAAGGATATACTGACGTACGTTGAATATCCAATGTTGGAGGTTATAAATATACAGTTGGGTGGATATTTACACTAGCTGGAGGAGCAATTTCTTGGAAGAGTAAGAAACAAACATGCATTACTCTTTCAACCATGAAATTAGAGTTTGTGCCTCTTGCTTTCGCTGGTCAAGAAGCAGAATTGTTGAGGGAGCTTCTATTAGAAGTTCCATTGGCAAAAGACAATGTTTCAAAGGTGTTGATACACTACGATAGGCAAGCTACTTTAGCTAGAGCATTCAACAAAATATATAATGGAAAGTGTAGACACATAGGACTTAGAAATTCCTTTGTGAGAAAATTGATTAAAGATGAAATCATTTAACTCGCCTATATATGAACAAGGTATATTTTGGTTGATCCATTTACTAAGCCACTGGCCAGAAACTTAGTAAAAGCAACCTCAAGAGGCATGGGGTTCAAACTCCTTGAGTAAGAGTTCTGATAGCGGCAACAAGTCAATATTACGTTAACAAAATATTAACCTCAAGATTCAATGCATAATAACAAGTCGTTAATTTAGATGTTTGTCGAACATTTCGTGATAATGTTGACCTTTAAAATGAGGGTTGAGTTTTTATTTAAACTCTTAATGAAGTTCAATACCAAGGGTATGTGTCTTATGGAAAAGGATATAGTATGAACTTCACATATGTAAATTTCGAGATTGTGTCATCTCAAAGTGAGAGTTGGAGTTTCTCTCACGAAAAATTCATGAAACAAGAAAGCATATGGCCATAAATAAGTACTAGGAGAGAAATGTAGGTGAAGAACCTTAAAGAATGTGTGTGAGGTAATGTTGTTCTATTTACATGGATTAATGATTTAAAAGTATTGCTACCTAACATTCTGATTAGACTTTGCGTTGTCTTTACTAAGGTTAAGTTTTAAATCGAAAGATATCTAACTGTACTAACATTCTTTGTTTCTCTTTATTAGAATTGATCTTGTCATTATTAGAACAAGTGGGGGATTATTGCAATTTATGAACAATAAATGTTCATGGGTGTGTTCCAAAATGATAAGAGAATTAGAAGTGAGTAAATGTCAATAAATGATTAGAAATTCGAAGAGAGACAACACTTCGTGTAGTGTTGTTGTGGAATGAACATAGGCAATCACTACGCCAGAATTTAGTTTTAGCAGCGCATACAAAGACAGCGCTTTTTAAAAAAGCGCTGCTAAAGGGTCAGTAAAAAAAAGAAAAAAATTGCCTACCAAAGACAGCGCTTTTAAAAAAGCGCTGCTAAAGGGGGACCCTAAGAAAGCGCTTTTTCTATAAAGCGCTGCTATATGGCATTGCTAATGCACCCTATGAAAGCGCTGCTAAAGGCCTTTAAAAAGCGCTGCTATAGGCATTAGTATTATAATTTTAAAATACCCTCCAGAATTTTAAAAGAAACAGAACAGTCGCGACGTGTTTCTTTTCTTCTTTCTTTCTCCTCTGGCGACGAACTTGCCCTATACAACCATTTCGTTGCCGTCATCCTCCATCCGACCGTCACCCTCTTCCGTTGGATTTCGTCGCCGTTCACCGTTCGTTTTCGAGTGCATCCGTTCGTCTGCATTGCATTTCCACCATTGTTACGGTATGTGAAGTTTTACTCTGGTTTTCTTGTTTATTTATCTTTTCACCATTGTTACTGTGGTATTTGAAGATATAGATAGTTTTTTTGTTCTGATGATATAGATGGTTTTGTGTTATTGAGATATTGAAGGTTTTGTGTTATTGTCTCTTTGTTGTTATTAAGAATTTGAAGGTTTTGTGTTATTGAGATATTGAAGGTTTGATGTAGTTGTTGCAATGCGAAGATTTGTTATTATTGAGGCATTGAAGGTTTAATATTATTGTTGTTGTTGTTGTTTTTATTGAGTTATTGAAGGTTTAGTGAAGGTTTTTAGTGTTGTTTTGCATTAAGGGTTTGAGGACATGTAAGTAAATTTGAGTTCAAGTATGATATTTGATATGATGTTAACGCTAATGTTGTTGGGTTTGTGTAGATATGTTACGTATACACTAAGGTTTAAGTGTTGTTTTTGTTGTTATTGTTGTTGTTAAAAGCCTAAAATCAAAATGTTTTATATTATTGTTAATGTTATTGTTCTTTTTATTTTGTTGCTATTTTGAACTTAGATGGATAATTCATCTAGCACCAATCATACAAATGAGTTTTCTTCTAATTTGAATATAACAAAAATATTAGATAATGATGGCTAAAAATATTAATGTAACTTGATAGAGCATACTGTTTTTTTAATAGTTTGGAAATTCCTATTTTTTAAGAGAGTAGCCAACATGAATATGGTTTTATATGATATGGTTTTATATGTTATTATGGTTTTATATGTTGATGGTTTTATATGTTGATATGTTAGTATGGATTTCTCAATGTTTATATGATATGCTATTATGGTTTTATATGTTTAGTTAGGATTTCTCAATGTTTAGTAAGGGTGTCATTTTGGTTTAAGGATTATCTAGTATTTTTAATATGATTTGTTTTGGTGGATTATCTAGTATTTTTGTTTTGGTTAATTATTAATATGATTTTAATAAAATTTATATTTTGTTTGCTATAGGGGTTACCTGTGAAGAGCAAAGTTGTGATCGTTTCCAAGCATCCTACTGTGTAGCATTCTTAGAAGTTAGTGATTTCTTTACAGGTATTCTCTGTTTTATTTAACTTTCATAGTTTAGTGTAGATTACTCAATTAGTATGGATAAAAAATGGATGTCTGGTAATCGATTGTCAAAAGAGTACGAGAATGGGGTATCGAAGTTCGTTAAGTTTGCTGTTGAACACGCCAAAGACCCCAGTAGGATCACATGTCCTTGCTTAGGATGTTG